TAAGAAAGCGCAAACCGACTAAACCATATGATTCGCCTTCGAGTGTCTGTTTCACCATATATAATCAAAGTTATTAATTTAGTTGGAGTGTTTAGATTGGCTCCTCCAAAATATTTGAGTTTCGAATATTTGTCCTTTCGTGCAAAGGCTTTATACATTTAGCACTATCAAATAAGAAAAGAACTTTATCTGATTAAACATAAAACAAAAAGTGCCAATTAAACTCACTTATTTAAATTCTCCAATTATTATGAGAGTTTTAGAAGTGCTAAGCTTTGACTGTTGGGGTTTGGTAGATCAATATGTGTTCGGCAACTGGGAGCATAATGTAATGGTGCATGCCACAAACCCTACGATGTGCTCAACTGTTGAGATCACCGGAAACCCTAGGATCTGCTCCTTGACAATTATCATCTCAACCATTCAATTTCCCTCGACACACCATCATTTAATCCAATATATGATTCACTAACACTATTGTCCAGTAATATTTATGTTCACTTGTAATTAAAGAGGTCATAAGTTCGACTCTCATGAATATGATGAGTTCGTAATCAGTTATTAATTAATGGTCCATTGTGTGACTTAACTCAATCCTTACACTAAAATCATTGTATCAAAATTTAAAATGTTATTATCTTGTGTATATAAACTCTCTAATAAGCTCTTAATGATTTGATAATTGTGGTAGAAAAAATATGTTGTTTTCAATTTTGACAAATTTGTACCTACAAAACAATTAAACACATTTGATCAAGGAACAACACCACACGCCCACGGAGTGGGGAGAGGTGGGGGGGGGGAGGGGGAGGTTTGGCCAATGAATTTATGATCCCTAAGTCAGTTTCTCTAAAAAAAAAGAGTTTAGGGCTCAATTACATATAGAAAAAGTTTACTAGAAATTAGTGTAGAATGTAGTATTTATAGGAGATGTGGCCGGCCATAAGGAGAGGGATCTCGAGCCATGTGTCGATGTCCAGTTGGCCAAGGTATGTCATCCGTTGGATGGAGGAGCGAATTATCCGAAGATATTATTTAATTAATATTATCTTAGAATTATCTCGTAAAATTCTTGATTAGATTTGATTGTGATTCCTTACTTGATTGGGTTGGTCTTTAATAAGGAAGGCTTAGAAATAAGGATTAGTTATTAATCCTATCTTTAATTCTCTTGTCTTATCTCCTTGCCATCGACAACAAAGCTTAGAGAAGTCGTAGTCAGTAGCTCAGAGCTTTTTGAAGGTTGAACTGCACATGGAACAAATGTGGGCCTCTAATTTAATGAGGGCATTCCAGTCACTTATGGGTAAAAGTCCACGTGTTAGCTCCTGGATTTTTTGAATTCTTTTTTGCTCCATGAAGGCCCCCACACCTGCCGTGCTATGCTTAGGAAGTACAAGAGGTGTGAAAATCCCAAGTTAAGTAGGCTTGTCAAAAATGGATTTTTTGATTGCATTGATTCTGAGCTCTAACTTGTAGTAAAAGTCTTCTAGGAGATGGAGTCCAATTGCCTGCACAATTTATTTTAGGGGTTGTTGGATATTAGGGCTTAATAAGATGACTATTTGAATATAAACTGAAAGGCTTTATAATTCTGAATTGGAAATGGATCCTCTCTGGATCCCTTCCATCTAATCTTGATGACCCACAAATCTGGGCCCTTGAAATTTGATCCAACGACTAAAATTATTATAACTTTTAATGAGGCCCCCTATTTGTAACTGTTGGATCAAATTTCAAGGGCCTAGATTTGTGGGTCATGAGGCTTAGGTGGAAGGGATCCGGAGAGGATCCATTTCCTTCTTAATTTAGTCTTTGTTTAAAAATAGGTAGACACATCATCTACAATGATATCCATAGATTTTTCTATTATTTACAAGCATGCCAACCTAGTGTCATTAATGCTAGATTTTTAGTGGAATGCAGTTATATCCCAAACATGGAAAGTATAATTTATCAAGTTAATGCAAGAGTCAATTTTCAAATTTAAAAAAAAATTGCTATATGTTAATGCCATATCTACTGCTTCAAATCTTTGAATACCTTTTTGCACTCTTCGTCCCACTTGTTCTTCTACACCCTCTTTAAAGCCTTGAAAAAGTGTTTGCACCGGTTAGTTGATCCTAAGAGGAGTTTGAGAACTGTTGCTCATCTAATTAGACTTTGGTTCTCTTTTGACACTTCATATGCAGGATCGCTTGAATCTGCTTTAGATGTGCTTCGTTTGTGGTCTCAATGAGCTGAAAGTTGAGGCAATGGTGCTTTTGGTTACCCCTGATGATGGTCTGCAGGTTTATGTTGCTCTTCCCGATATTCAACTCGTCCGTGTGTTGGCTGTGGTACACGTCGTTTGTCTCTAGCTAGCGAGCAAGTTGCTCATGATTGTGTTTGGTGTTGAGCTCAAGTTGAACTTGAACCTGACTACCCTCGAGTTTCTTCATGTTCCTTGTGTTGCCTGCTCCGATGTGAGGTGTGAGGAATTATCTTTGAGCCAAGTCGAGAGTGGAAACTACACCTAGATTCAGGGTTTAAGCGTTCATTAGAGCGTGGGCCCAACCGTGAATGTACACTCGTTTGTGAGCCAAGTCGGTAATGAACACTTCTCAGCACACTAAGGCAGGAGATAATGTTTTCATAAGGGCCAAGGCGGGAGTGCACGCTGCCTAAACACCTAGTTCGTGGCTGGTTTAGTGGTTGCTTTTCGAGACACCTTTGGAAAGAAATATCGTCATCATCTCATATCCTGCTTTGAGTTACCTTGTCAAGAGTGTGTTGCATTTCGATGTGCTTAAGGAGTAGACTTTCCAAGTCAAGTCTGCAACCTGTTGGGATAGTTGAGATCGACATTTGGAGTGCTGGAGCTCAGTTGGTATGCATCTTCGTGAGTGGTAGAAGTGTTGTGAACAACGGGCACGAAATTTAAGTCGAATGGGTCAAATTTTTTGAAATAACGAAGATCGTTAGTCTAGATCAAGCTTGCAAGTCCAGTCTGAACCAAATTCGATCTGGAGACCAAGGGCCGATCCAGTTGAACCGCTTTGGGACTGAACCATGGCTTGGGAACCAGGTCGAACACGCGAACGGCTGGAATAGGTCAGGTCGGCCCACTTGGCCTTGGGTTGGCACGACCTAGGCTTGTAAGGGTTAGGCTACGCTAGAGTTGTCTACGTGTGGACTTAGGCCTACTGTGCTTGGATTTCTTGTGTAGTTGTTGAAGCTGCTCTGTGGGCCTACTACTTCTAGGTTGTTGTTGTCTGCGCATGGGTCTGTTATGACTGCAAGTTTTAAGCTGCTAGAGTGGCAACATTATAGGATGTGGCTGGTGGTAAGGGGCGTCCAGCTACGAGAAGCAGCGACATGTAGCCACGTCATGTCCCTTATTCTCTAGTCCATGTCCATGTACATAAGGGATATTATTTATCATGATTTCAGAATTTTCAGTCATGTTTTCCTTCTCTAGGCTAGCACCCGAATCAAAGAATTAAAAATTTGAAGATTAGAAGCACCTAGAAAAATTCAAATAAGGGGAATTTTGAAAAGAATTTGCATGAGAGCTTCTTTGAGAATTAAATCAAGCTCTCAATGAAAAGCACCAATTTGTGGTAGCAAAAATTCACTATCTTCAGTCTTGATTAGGGATGGGCAACGGTTATGGCGGGCAGGTAACCACGGTTATTTACCCATAACTGTTTATGCTCATACCCGCATAACCGTTTACCCGTTGGGTAATTGCTAAATAGTTATACCCATACCTATAACCATTTATAAATGGTTAACCATACCCATAACCGCATATCCATTTAACCGTAACCGTTTAATACCCGTTTATCCATTTACCCTTTTTAACCCGTTTATCTTTTTATTTTTTTTACCATTACCCCCTTGTCACCTGTCTACATGTTTTTTAACAACTTGAAAATTAAAAAAAAATTTGTCATAATTTTTTTTTTTGACAATTAAACACCGTTATAAGTACATTCATCATACATTTCCGTATTTTAATTTTTTAAGTCCTTATATCATTCCAATAATTGAAATAATAGTTTATGGATGATATTTTTAACTGTTACCAATGAAGGTAAATATAATATTTGCTAAGTATTATTGGGTTACAAAAATTGTTTAGAAGACATTTATATCAAAGCATTTCTGTCAATTTTGTTCTGAGTTCGAACATCTCTGATTTTGAAAATTTCTAAAAAATTTGGTTGGCAATTGGAATGTAATTATTCGATCCGAAATTTCTCAAACCTAGTTTTATAAAAAGCAAATGATACATATATTAAACTAAAGATAAAAGCATACGAATTATTTATCTTGTTTATTTTTATTTTATGTCATACACACGTAACAGCATACAAATATCGCAATAATTCAGAAAGAATATTAAATGGTGGATACATAAAAGCTTGAAAATTTCAAAACATAGTACAAAATGTAGGAGATCCGAATTATGTTCCGAAAATTTCGTGATAAAGAAATTTCTAGTAAATTTCGATAATTCAAAATTCTGGAATCATTTTTGAATTGGTATTGAAATGCTTCTCTCTGATCCGATTATGCGGAAAATCACCCCTAGCCCACACCACTCCCTCACTTTCTCTCTCTACACTTTTCTCTCTCTTCACTTTTCTCGGGTGTGGATCTTTGCGTTTTCAAAAGTTACACTACTACCATCCTGCGCATTGGTCTCTTTACCGTCCGTATCTTCTTCTTGGAACCCTTCCTTGAATCTGTCATAGTTTGTGGGCTCATTCGACTTGAATGACCGTTCTCCCAATACTCGAACCAAGTCCTCTTGGTGAAGGACTTCCTTTTCCAGCAACAGCTCTGCAATCTGTCCTATCTGCTCTTTGTGCTCCTCTATTAACTGAATGGTGCGGACGTATGCTTTACCGACCCATTCTCTAACTTCACTGTCAATTATTGCACTGGTTTTGCTACTGTAGGGCTTCGTCATCTCAAATGAATCGTCCCTCTGAGGAACAAAAGAAGACCTACCTTGTAACTGAAGTCATACACTGCAACTTGAGCATATGTCATTGGTCACTTTCTCCAAGTCGTTCTGCGCTCCAGTTGAAATCTTCACCAACAAAACCTACTCCAAAAATATCACCGCATTTAATGACAAGTTCTCCAAGTCGTTCTGAGGCATTGTGCTTGATCAATTTAAGACAATTGGGTTATTGTAACACAAGACTGTCTGCAGTCGGAAACTATTCAAACATTGCAACACAACATATATTAATACAAATTATAAAGATTTAAAGACAAAAGGCATCATATACTTTCGGAATTAACTTCTCTTTGAAAATGGCTTGTTTTTCTTCTTTTAGATTCCACCATCTAGTCCTTGGGCACTTCCAAGTCTTGTTCTTTTGTCTCCCTCTTTTGATATGTACATCCATCACCAACAAGCGATGTTGATTAGCCACGCTCTCTCCTGGTATAACTTTGCAATCCTTACAAGTCTTGTTCTCTTGGAAACTTATCTGGGAAACAAATCAGCTTAAGCAGAAATTACTAATGAAAATGAAATGGAAAAAATAAGCCAAATAACAACATTGATGCAGAACGTTTGACTAGAACTTAGACAATAAAGATATAGAGGAGAAGACACAGAGGCCTCAGGGAGGAACATCTGTATATTCAATCATTTGAGACTCCCTCTACTGAACTATAAAGGCTCAATTATATAGACCTTGCTAGAAACACGAAAGTAAACCTATTCAACAGGAAAGTAATCGTTTTTTTTTTTCTTTTTTTTTCTGTCAAACACATGAAGGTAATCTTAATCCTACGCGAAAGCGATCCAAATAAACTAGTTTCTGCTTAGTGATTACCTCCTTCGTTTGATGAGGATTAAGGAATAATGATGTGACAATAAAGCCAATGAACATTAAAGGAGCAATAAATCTTGAATCTGCTTCGAAAACTGTCCCCGAGTATTCCCCTGACCACCTGCACCTGATCCCTCTGAAGAAAAATGAAACTCATGGGCATACTAAAACAATGTTGCACTTACCAAAACACATCAATGGGGAAAAACCTACAAAAAATTAAAATGTGGCACACCTTTGGACGCTGATTTCTGTTCGCCCCCTTTCGGAATTTCCTTCTTGTTTTTCGGATAATAGTTTTCGTAATCTACCAAACCATTGCAAACATCCAAACATAAACACATTATGCTAAGCATCAAATTTTATCAAACCAAAATAAAATTCTTAACTTTTGGACAGAAAGCCTTACGTTTTTTTCCCGGGGCCTTGGCTGGAGAACAAGCGACGAATTCTAGGGATTCCGAGAACAGACTTCAAATTCGACATGTATGCTTTCGATAAGAGCTGCTTCCCAGCTCCATTGTAAGCTATATATCCCCTCAGAATCCCTACGCAGCCATCAACGCACGCATTGCCGAGCGGCGTCAAAGACGGCGGAAAGGAATCGTGCCGCAGCGTGTTCCTCCAGTTGTAAGAACCCGAAATCACATTCTGCGCAGAAAAATATCAAATTTAGCAACCAACTAAAAAAGAGAACTTTAGGGAAAAAAATTTTAAAACTTAGATTTTTTATGTTATAGTTCTTACTCTATTGAGTTTGGAACGAGCCGAGTGGGTGATCGAGCGTCTGATGCTTGAGAAAACCATTGTATCGAGCCGCGGGAATCGTTTGAGGTGGAGAAGGGTATTTTTGAAACCGTAGAGAGAGTTATGTGGGTCTGTTTGGTTGCCGAGAAAATTTCTGGTGGGAAAGTTTTCTAGGGTGTGGCAATGGGGAGAGAGAGAGAAAGAGAAGTTTGCCGGAATTGGGAGTGGGAAAGGGGAGGGGCGGAGAAAGGGAATTGTTTGCTGCCCAGAATGAGAAACCGACTTCTTATTACTGAATTACGTATTTGACCTTTGTTATGTGACGAGGGGATGTGAGTGGAGTAAGGTTAATTTGGTCAATGTGCGGTGTTTCTTCCAGGGTTTTTAGAGCCTCAAAATTGGTAGCAAATATGTATGGTTTGGTTTGGTCACCTCAGTCCCCTTTTAACAGAATTGTGTTACAAAAATAGTAAAAAAATTTATGGGATTAAAGATTAATGGATTTTGCACTAGCTAAAATAAGGTCCTTCACTCCGAGTGAGAATTCCAGAGATCCTCAAATCACATTCGTTCATCTTATATCGTGCAGTCAGAAATTATTGTAATATTTTTTTTAAATTGAATATAACAGTACTTGACGAAAACTGACCGCACGATGAACGAATGTGATTGAAGGATTTTCGGGACCGTCACAAAGAGGATCGGGTGAGAATCCTTTCTCCTTCACTCCTTTACACGCACCTAGAGACAAAGAGGGGGCCAAAATCAAGTGTATGGATAAAGAGAAGATTTTTAGGCTCATTACCCGCGTTGAAAATGGGGTTTTTATTTTTTGACAAAATTACAGTTTAACGCATATACTTAAAGAAATTGTAAATATAAAATAACAAAATTTTTGTACATGTATAACATTGTAATATGTTGCTTGAAAAGAACAATGCCTAAAGACACAAAGTCAAAATATTTTCTGAAGAAAAGAGAAATGATAAATGCACTTACAATAATTTGGTGCCTTTTCTCATCGCTCACGTATGAATGCATTCAGCCGACTTTAGAGTGCAAATAATAGTGGGAAAAAAACATTCTCATACACAGAGGCGGATCCATTCAGGGACTAGGGTGGTCCCAGGACCACCCAACGGCCTGGAGTTGTGCGGAGGGGAGATATGCAGCGGTGACTCTCTGCAGACTGCAGATGAAAAAGAAAGAAGAAGGTTGTTTTCTTGTTAAACTGAATCGGCCAAAACGCACCGTTTGAGTCCAATACAATTAAAATGAATGTGTGAGCCCAATTCCCATTTTAATATTTTATATAAGAGACCCTAATCGGTAATCCCAATGCCCAATCCCTTTTTCCTATCTCCTCAGTTTCCTTTTTCGTTCTAACCGCATATGACCAAGCCACCGCCTGTCCACCTCTCTCCTCTCAAACACCGCTTCATTTCTTAATTTTATTTTTGTTATTTTAATACTGTCCTAATGTCTAAATTTAAATAAGTTTTCTAATTTTAGTCCAAAATAGAATGCTATTAAATTGATGTGTATCGGATAAAATTGTTAGATTCCTAATATATACTAGTTAGTGCTTGGATTGTAATTTATGATTTTTTTTTTATATTGATTTGATCATGTGATGGTTAATTTCTATATATATGTTTTGTTTTTCAACAAATATACATATATTTTTATCTCCATTAATTTATATGAATTTTTGTTTTAATAATTGAATGTGTAGAAATTAAGAACATGGTACGACATAATACATGAAAATCATACTCGATTAGTTTAAACAATGTTATTTCGAATAGTACAACTCGGGAAGAGATCGGGTCCGGATCTCTCCCATCAAAGGCCCAAGAACAAATGATCCGGACCGTTGAAATTTAATCAAACCGCTACAATTATTATAACTTTTAGAAGAGCCCCCTGTTTGTAACCGTTGGATCAAATTTCAACGGTCCGGATCACTTGATCGTGGCCTTTGATGGGAGAGATCCGAACTCTTCCCGTTCAACTCCAATACTAGGACCACCCAATGATAAAAGTCTGGATCCGCCACTGCTCATACAGAGTTTTGTATGAGTTTGCTTCGCCCTATGATATGGGGGGCAAGGAGCAAGCAAATGCTCACTATACTTAAGATTGAGATTCAAACAAACATAGAAAACAACAGTGTCGAGTTGCTTCCCTCGAGAGTAATGTAGTCTACATACATAAGTTTTACTATATAATGAAATAAGTAACAAGGCTTAGAATCAGTCTCATTGTTGTTGGTTTAAAACGTGAAGAATTTCGAAGAAATTATGATAATTTTAGAAAAAAATTGATATGAAACAATTGTTGAACATTTGGTCTAGGATTGTAACTTTGATATTTTCACTACATTTGAAGAACTTTAGAAATCGAATCAAAAGAAAGATTGAGTTAAAGAAAAAATGGTGCAGAAATAATGAATGTCAAATCAGAGTTAAACGTTAGTTATCTTGATACCATGTTAAGATGAAGAGCCAAAAGTTGAAAGGAAGTGCCAACAAAAGGAGAGAGTACACTAGTGTATCAAAAAATAGTTCAAATGATTGCAATGAGTCTAAGTTCTTCTTATATCTCTTTACGTACATGAAGGCATAACCACTCTTCTAATAATTATGTCATGTCATAATCACTCTTCTAACAATCACTAAAAATTTATCTAAGGATGGTGTTGTTCACTCACACTTTTTATGCATCTTTTGTTAATTTCTATCGTTTGATCATATTTAATTTATCGATTTGACGGTCAAAAATTGCGAGAAGTTTGTGGAAGGTAAAAACAAATGTGTGGTTAGCACCACCTTTCTCCTTATGCTGATGATAAAATCTACATCGCATTTTTTAGTATGCATATCATTATTGTTCAACATTGTATAGTTTACGTCTATGGATTCATCCAAAATTATGATTTATGCCCACGTCAAAATAGGAAGAAACCCATGATAGAGAAGAAGGAGAGGTTGGAGATGAACGAGAAGAGGAACATGTAGAGTTTGAAGAAGCACTTGATGGTTTAGGGTTCCTAATCATGAATGGCACCATATCTTGAAGCAATCCTTGTGAGCTTCTTTCTTCTTCCACATACCCTTGATGCCGGCCCGGAAACGGGCCGGGTGGCAGATCCCGAACTGGATCGGGAGTAACGCTTCTCAGACTTTCTTGGGCTTCTCTGTCGTGGTCTTCGGCTTGGGGCACAGAGGTTTTCTTCTTGGGCTTCTTCATTGACGGGCTGGAGGTTTGGGCCTGGTTGTTGAAGTCAAAAAATGGATATGCGAAGTGCAAATGGAGCCCTTCATAGGTGATAATGAGCGTGTCTGGTTCCTCACTGGACCTCTCTACTTGCTTTTTGGCACTGCATCTTGGATTTGTGCACCTGTAGTAGCTCCTATATTTTAAAAAAAAACTTGGTCAGAAATGTAAATTGAAAGATTAAAGTAAAATAAATCATTTGAAAGTTTACTTTTTTTTTTATTACAAACGATATTATTACTTTAAGCTACAATATGATGAGGATGAATGGTTTGAACTTGGTATACAATAGGTTGAAGAAGAAGGTCTTATCCACTAGAACAATCCGCCGGCCACTTGCAATTGAATGTTTAATGTAATTGTGTGACTAGCAATATGTCAAACCTTTGCTTAATGGCCTAGTACTAGGGTTCGCCCTGGCGTAGGTAGAATATTTAAGGATAATCTACCTTCTTAAGGTCTTGAATAGGGTGGTTGGCTTCATGCCTCAGCACTAATTAGAGAGCATTTCGTGAACTAATCAGCTTAATTAGTATTAAAGTGGTATAAATCATGCAGATTAAGTCCGACTCTTACACACATAAGATAATGAAGTCGTTTACGATGCTTATAGGTTTTTCAATGCAAAGTTTATTGGTTTAGGTACCTAATAAACAAATGACGCGACTCTTGTTCAACAATTATCATTTGTTTTAAGTTAATTAATAATTATATATTTGTGGTTTTTTTTTTAACTTTTCTAATAGGAACGTCTTATATCTTTTATCAAAAATAGCGTTAAACACTTTTCTTGAAGTTTTTCTTGCATTATTCTTCGTAAGAGCTTATGGACAATGACTTTGAAGTTAAGTTTGTTTTATAAACAAGCAATATTAGAAGATGGAGAATCGACGACCTTAGATGTAGAACTGAGTGCTCATAACCGCTTGAACTACACACTTACTATGGCTGCAATAATATCAAAACCCTAAAGCTTACAATTTCAGATAAAGGGGAAGAAGAATGAGCTATATATGGTAAATATTACCTAGGATTTGGGCTATTCTTAATGGACTTCTGGCCATATTTCCTCCATTTATAACCATCATCAGCCATTATTCCATTTCCACAGCTTTTGATCTTCAGAATATACTTATGCTCAACCTTACTCAGACCCCTTTCTAACAACGACAGCCTGCAAAATAAGAAAATTCATTTATAGCAAACTACAAAAAATAATCCCAATCAATTAAATTCTACAAAAACGAACATAAAATTATTGCAACATATATATACAAACCTGGCATTTGAAAGTTCTTGGGGCTGGACTGTTCCCGTTGTGACAGACAAAGCAGTCTCAATATCTTGGATTGTCGGACCAGAATAGACGTTAGGGATAAACCCGTTGATAGCCTCTTTGCCGAAAGCACTAGTCGTTCGGGACTGCACAGATTCCTCCGGTAGCACAAAGAACGGTGACTCATTGTCCAGAAGCTCCCTCACCAGCTCTTCCTCTGAGCCGTCCGACCACGTAGCACCCATTGCTTCCTCCATTGCTAATAGAAAAAGAAGAAGAAGAAGCTGAGAGGAAATGAGTTGATAAGATGAGAATTATAGAGTGTGTATTATCTGGTGAAGAAATAAAAGAAGGGAAAAGGTGGAGCAGATGAAGAAGGGAAGTTGTCACGTCTACGTGTTTGCCTCTTGACTTTTAAAGTAAGAGGGTTTTGGTTTCGTATGCATTCTACTTAGACTTAACTAAGAATTCTATTCCCGTCAAACAGTAAACATATTTGGTAAACTGAACAACTCTAGCTACGGGCCTTTTTTTGAAAAAAAAAATGAGGTCATTTTCCTTGCGCATATATATGCATGCTAGGGTAATTTCAATGCCTTCCTTACAGAGATCAAATTCAAGAACTATAATTTTCACGATTGCATCAAATTCAAAAAGTAATTCCGGTATGCAAAACACTGGCTTCATGATCATCTCGATATTAATTTACCGGAAAAAAAGTGGGTGAGGTAAATTGTATAAGAGAGGCAATTATCCCTAAACCCTCTCTAGTTTCTATGGATGTATACATTTGTTTAATTTTTTTTGTTAAATTGAATAAGT